AACATAATTGTTTTCATTGTATTTTTTCAATTTTATGTGATCGGAGGATATAGGACTTAGATGCTAATTTTGTCTAGATGGGAGTGTTTTGTATGATTTAGTTGGAAATAAGTGCATGAATGCTGATTTTGTAACGGTAAAATTTTGCAATGTTTTGCATTGTATGAATGTTTTATTCAAACACTGAAGTAGTCAAGGTTGAAACATAGTTGCAGTTTTATGATAACTTGTATATTTATCAATGGAAAAACAGATTGTATACTTAACTACGCAAATTTAACCAATCTGGAAAACGACAGTTATACATTTAAAATGACAACATGTTGTTTTGTGTCCTCGATCTCACTAAAAAATAAAAATTGGAATGACAACATTTGGTTTTGGGTAACAGGATCTCAATTTCACTTGATTATATTGAACAATTACACGTGTTATATTTTTGTATACTCTACCCCCTAAATGGGACCCTTATGTGTAAAATAATAACATGCCGTTTTATGTCAAGAGACCTCAAATTCACTCTAAAACTAGCAAAATAGTGTTTTGAACATATAAGACTTGTACATTTTGAACAATTACATGTTTTTCTATTTTCTAAACCTTATACCCTAAAACCTAAACCCTATACCTTAAAACATAAACCCTGAACGGCAACCTTCCATTTAAAATGATCAGATGCCATTTGGCATCACGGGCTATTGATTTCACTTCAAAATTAATAAAATAGTGTTTCGAACATCATATATGAATTGTAAATGTTGAATAATTACATGTTTTTCTATTTTGTAAATCCTATACCCTAAAACATAAATCATATACCCTAAAACCTAAACCCTAAACGGCAATCCTTCATTTAAAACGATCAGATGCTGTTTTAGGTCATGGGGTATCAATTTCACTCCGAAACTAGTGAAACATGCTTTGAAATATCATACATGACTCGTACACACTAAATGACTACACATACTATGATTTGGATGCGATACTTCCGTACGTTTTTCTTTTTTGTCAAGTGAAGTGTAGTTTTCTAGCAAATTATGAAGTGACTCACTATAGTTTGAACAAATATGTCGACCACAACGTCGAAATGCAGTTAAAACTTTCATCTCTATACCTTTACATGGTTACAAGTGTGAATGAACTAAAATGAACACTAAATTAGTAGAAATGTTAGTCATACGTTTAAAACAACCAAATGCGGTTTGCGATCATGGAATATCGATTTCACTCAGAAACTAGTAAAATATGCTTTGAAACATCATACATCGAAAGACTACACATGCTATGTTTTGGATACCATACTAATTAAGTTTTTCTTTGTTGTCAAGTATAGTGTAGTTTCCTACCAGATTATGGAGCGACTTGCTATAATTTGAACAAATGTGTCGACCACAATGTCGAAATGTAGTTAAAATTTTCATCCCTAGACTTTAACGTGGTTACAACGCGTGAATGAATCGAAACGAATACTAAATGAGTGAAAATGTCAGTCATACGTTTAAAATGACCAAATGCCATTTTGAGTCACGGGATACCAATTTCACTAAAAAACTAGTAAAACATGCTTTGAAACATCATACATGACTCTCACACATTGAACGACTACACGTGCTATGTTTTGGATATCATAACTGCTACTTACGTTTTTCTTTTGTTGTCAACTGTAGTGTAGTTTCCTACCGGATTATAAAATGACTCACTATAACTTGAACAAATGTGTCGACTGCAACGTCGAAATGTAGTTAGAACTTTCATCCCTAAACTTTCACGTAGTTACGGACGTGAATGAATCGAAATGAACATTAAATGAGTATAAACGTCATCCACATGTTTAAAACGATCGATGCCGTTTTGGGTCACGTGGTAGGATTTCACTTCGAAACTAGTAAAACGTGCTTTGAAACATCATACATGGCTCGTACACATTGAACAATTACACATGCTATATTTTAGATACAATACTTGCTACTTACGTTTTTCTTTATTGTCAAATGTTGTGTAATTTTCTACCAGATTATGAAGGGACAATCTATAGTTTGAACAAATATGTCGATCGCAACGTCAAAATGTAGTTAAAACTTTCATATATAAACTTTCACGTGGTTACAAGCGTGAATGAATCGAGACGAACACTAAATGAGTAGAAATGTCAGCTTTACGTTGAAAATGATTAGATGTTGTTTTGAGTCATGGGATATCAATTTCACTCCGAAACTAGTAAAAACTATGTTTGGAACATCATAGATAAGACATACGAGTTGAACGATTGTATACGCTATGTTTTATATACCATACTTGTTACATTTTCCTTTATAGTTAAATATAGTGTAGTTTTCAATAGAAAGTATGATGTGACTCACTATAGTTTAAACAGATGTGTCGATCACAACGTTGAAATGTAGTAGAATCTTTTATCCCTAAACTTTCATATGGTTATAGCGTGAGTAGAAACGTCAAGCATACGTTTAAAATGACCAAATGCCATTTTGGGCCACGGTGTATCAATTTCACTTCGAAACTAATATGTCGTTCTAGGTCTCGAGGTCTCAATTTCGCTCTAAAACTATTCGATCATATTTCATAACATCTTAGACGACTTATATAAGTTAAACATACTAATTTGTTGAGTATCTTATCTCACAGTTGGAGTATCATTGAATTCACATTAATTACATACGTTCATAGTGATATTTAGCGTAGTTTACTTACGAAACAATATTGTTGGTTACTATCTCGTTAACTTTTGTAACGACTTTGGTATCTAAATGTAATGAAAACTTGCATTCATTTGTTTTCATATGGATACGAATGAACATAAAGTGAAATAGACACAAAAAATAGTTAAAACGGCACTCAGGAATTTAAAATGATAGCACGCCATTTTGGGTTATTGAAGTCTCGATTTCACTTCAAAACCAGTCATTAATATCTCGAAAAATTTTATAAGACTTATACAAAAAATAAGGTAAATTATTTAGAATCGTGTCTCATAATTTGAATATAATCGAATTTAGATTACCTAACTTAGTTCGTAGTTAAGTCTAGTGTAGTTTACTCATAAAAGAATAGTGTTCATCATTATCGCAGGAACTTTGTATTGATACTGGTGTCTAAATGTAATGAAAAATGCATTCGTCCATTTTCATGTAAATATGGATGAAAATAAAATGAAACGTATATGGAATTAGTTGAAATGACACCTAATCATTTAAAATGACAGCAAGGCATTATGAGACCTTGATTTCACTCTAAATATTGTTAAAATGTGTCTACGTTAATTTTAATGTGAAAATGAGAGAGCAAGCAAAACGAAAACAAAAATTAGTTAAAACGTCATCGAACGATTTATAACAACATCATGCCGTTCGGGCCACGAACCCTTAACTTCACTTCAAATATGATTAACACTTTTTTATATAATTTTCACGTGGATAAGAGTGAATAAAGTAAAATGAACACGAAATTAGTTAAAATGACACCCAATCATTTAAAAAGGCGGCATGAATTGGGCATTTTAAACATTTCACAATAAGGGTATTTGAGACTTTAACACATGATGAAATAGAGTAAATGCTATTTTTCCAAACATTATTAAGTGTAGGCTATTTTACGAAGAAACTTTGTTGACTAGGCTCATTAAGCAAATCTCCCTTTTTTATTTTATTTTATTTTTTTATCTGTAAATTAAATAGTTTCTGCATGAAAATTTTCATTTGTTTGTTAGATACTTAGAGTTGAGCTCTAATTTTTTGCCGAATTTATGTGTTGGTGTACATTGAATGGTGGCGAAATTTGGGTAAATCCCCAAGATCTTGTTTGATTTGCATTGAATTACGGTTTTTTTTTTTTTTCTTTTTCATGGATTTTATTATTTGATATAGTGGCATCAGGTCGGATTGTTATAAAGTTTGTAATTGTTAAATCTTGGGGGGAATATTTTTGTAAAATTTAGCGATTTGGTTGTGAGTAGATGGCTTCCAATCCTCCTCCATTCCAGGTGGAGGACAATACTGATGAGGATTTCTTTGATAAGTTAGTGAATGATGATGATGATGATGATGTGGACATTAAGGTAACTGCGACATCATCGGCATTGGTAGGATTCAGTTTCACTGATGGGAATGAATCGAATGTGGCTCAGGCGTTGGCGGATTTGAGTATCAATGAGGTTGAGAACAACAGCGAGGTTGAGAATAATTTCGTTGCAAGTGGTAGTTTTACATGGGATGATGATTTAAGCAAGGAAAATGGGGAAGTTGAGAAGGTTGCAAGTTTGGAGGAGAGTAGAAATCCATCAGTGCCATCGAATTCGGTTCAGTTTGATACTCTGATACACGAACCCAAAGTTGAGATAGGAGGGTCCGGGGATTTGTCTGATACAACAGTAATGAGTGAGAGTAGCAGTAAGGGTTCGTCCAATACTATGATAGTGAGAGACAGTAGTGGAGGATCAGGGGATTCGGGAGTTAAGGAGGTGGACTGGAGTGCCTTTCATGCCGATGATGCTCAGTATGATAGTAATGGTTTTGGATCGTATTCGGATTTTTTCAGTGAAGTGAAAGGGAACAAGGCTGATGATGCATTTGGGAATGTAGGGGTTAGTTTGAATAACATGTCAAGGGTTGCTTATGGTAATGAAGTAAATGGACATACGCATGAGGTAAATTCAAATGACTTGGGCCAGTATCAAGAGGGGTATAATTTTGGTACAGCTGTGGATCAGGTTGCGGCTGGGCAGGATTTGAACAGCAGTCAGTATTTGGAGAGTCTCTATCCAGGTTGGAAGTATGATCCAAACACAGGTCAGTGGTATCAGGCATATGGTTATGATGGTGGTGCAAGCATGCAAGCAAATGTTGGCTCTAATTCAACTTCTGTGCCTGAAGGAAAGGTGAATATCTCTTACTTGCAGCAGACTGCTCAGTCTGTTGTGGCTACTGTAGGTGCCGAGAGTGCAACTCAGTGTTACTGGTTGGAATCAAGCATCTCAAGTTAATGATACTACAGCAAGCATCACGAATTGGAATCAAGTTTCACAAGTAAGCGGTGACACAACAGGGGTTGCACTGAAACAGTATTGCCAACTAAATGGTGGGTACCCACCACATATTTTTTTTGACCCTCAATACCCTGGCTGGTATTATGATACTATTACCCAGGAATGGTGTTCTTCGGAATTATTTACTGCATCTGATCTGTCCACTGCCCAAACTCAAGCGAATGAGAATGGATATGCTTCGACCGAAACATTCTCTGGAAACAATGATCAGAAGACAGACGTTGCATATGATCAAGTTAATAACTCTGGATCCCAAGGCTTTAGTAACCAAGGCAAAGATCAGAGCTGGGCTGGGTAATTCAGTAATAATAATCAACAAAGTTCAAGAATGTGGAAACCTGAAACTGTTGCCAACGATGAACCTACTTCACAATATAGTGGAGACCAACAATTGGAAAATTACTACAAGCAGAACTTCTCATTGAATGCTCATGAAAGCGAAGAAAAATCCGTTAATCTTGGGGAAACTGGTTCGTATTATGAAAATGTCAGTCAAGGTCAAAATGGCTTTGGTATGCCTGCTGGTTCCCAAAATCCTGTTTTTGGGGTGTACTTCAATCAGCAGTTCAATCAGTCTGGGATTAGTCAGAATGGCCACAAACGAATTTCTTATGACTACCATAGCAATCAGAATTCATTTAGCTTTTCGCAGCAGTGTATGCAGAGTGCCGATCAATTCTCTTATGCTCCTGCTGCAGAAAGGTCATCTGCCGGCCATCCTCCGCATGCTTTGGTCACTTTTGGTTTTGGTGGAAAGCTCATTGTGAAGAAAGATAGCAGCTCTGCTGAAAGCTCAAACTTTGGGAATCAGGCCAGTTTTTGAGGTATCTGTCCTATAGTATTCTTGACTCTTGTTAGTTGTAAATTTGAAAAATATTTTTGTATTCCATGTGAAGAATCCTCTAGGAGGTTCAATATCTGTTCTCAACTTAGAGGAGATTGTGAAGGTCAAAGTTGGTGCTTCAACCCTTGGAATCGGTGGTGGCAATTATTTCCAAGCCCTCTGTCAGCGATCGTTCCCTGGTCCTCTTACTGGTGGAGGTGTTGGCATTAAAGAGCTAAACAAATGGATTGATGAGAGGATAGCAAGCTCGGGGGCTGCTGATATGGACTATGGGAAAGGTGAAACGTTGAGGTTGCTCCTCTCGGTGCTAAAAATATCCTGTCAGTATTATGGAAAACTGCGATCTCCTTTTGGTACGGATACTGTACTAAAGGTATGTTGCTTATCATTCCAGTGCATACAGTGCATATTGAACCTCAACATATCTCCTAGTTAATATTAAATTTCTTAAATTGCTCTGGTCTCTTTGAATGCCTTAGTGGTTGTTTACCTTTGAAGCTGGGCAAAGTTTTAAACTCTTGCTTATGATATGTTATTGTTGATAAGTCACGTCATACTTTAATTTTCATTCTCTGTAATGAGCTTTCAACATTGCAAGTTAAGAAATATTAATAAAGGAATATCAAACTTGTGCTATACATTTTTGGGTATCTAGATAAAGGCATGCCCACCATAATTCTCACTGGGAATTGCACCCTTAACTACTTGACTGCAGCAGGATATGATCAAACTGAGCAAATCCGTGTCATCCAAGTATGTAAATATTTAGCTATTCAGGAACATAGCTCACTTATACATAAATGATCTGACAACTTGGGGTTGAAATCATTCTCTTCAGACACGTCGAGCAATACTCTGCAAGAAGATATGTCATAATTTTTGCGACCTTGACCCAGATATTGATTTAACTAATTTTTGACTTGTACTCTGTTGGGCTGTTTGTTATACTAGGAAAGTGATACTCTAGAATCAGCAGTTGCCAATCTCTTCGCATCTGTCAAAAGGAATGGTGCACAATTTAGTCAATATGGTGCTGTAACCAACTGCTTGCAGCAAAATGCCTTCTGAGGCACAGATGCGGGTATTTACTGTATTACCTTTTCTGCCGTGGTGCAGGTGGAGATGGGGTCAATATCTTCATCCGTTAATAACTACCAGTTCAACGTTTTAGGTCACAGCTTCTGAGGTTCAAAGTTTTTTGGTTTCTGGAAGAAAGAAAGAAGCTCTCCAATGTGCACAGGAGGGTCAGTTATGGGGCCCTGCCCTTGTTCTTGCTGCACAAATTGGTGATCAGGTTCATCTCCATCTCCATCTCCATCTCCCCCTCCCCCCCTGTGCAATATCTTTCCTTTATCATATGTTATGCTCCCTTGTCCCTTAGAGGTCAATTGTATGAAGTGATTGTTGATGGTGGTGTTGTGTACTGCAGGAAAATTTGCGAAGATTCTTTTTACTTGCATGATTTATTTCTCAACTTCTTTTATGATTCTTGCACAGTTTTATTGTAAGCTTGAAATGATGAATTTTGTTCTTTTTCATTTGGCAATTTTACGCCAGTTTGGTGCCAATGGCATACTTGATGGCTGGGAAGAGAATTTGGCAGTCATAACTGCAAATAGAACGAAAGATGACGAACTTGTTCTTATTCATCTTGGAGATTCTTTATGGAAGGACAGAAGTGATGTATGTTTTAGTTAATTTTTTTGTATTTAGTTCTTGACAAGTACTTTCAATCTAAACATTATCGTTGATACTTTTATGAATATTTTTGTTCAGATAATTGCTGCCCACATATGCTATTTGGTTGCGGAAGCAAGCTTGGAGTCATATTCAGACAGTGCAAGATTGTGTCTTGTCGGTGCAGATCACTGGAAATTCCCACGGACTTATGCCAGTCCTGAGGCTATCCAGGTTGAACAAATCTGTTTATCACTAATGCATTATTTTGCTGTGTAGTTTCAAAAATAAAAGATAAGAAACAAATAGTAGCATGAATATGGAATTAATTCTTGGAAAATTCCTTGAGGTGAAAGAAAAATAAAGGATAAGAATCAAATGGAAACATGAAAAAGTGGGAAAGGGAAATTGTTTTCCACTCCTTTCTTACATAATCTATTTATATTCCTCCCATTTTGTCTTTTGAAGTTGCATATGTTAATATAACCAATTGAGTGTACTTTGTATATGTTTTGCTTGTTATTTTAAGCCCCACAAGCGCACAATAATGCCCCACGAATTATGTGTAAGTGTGTATATGGTTATTATAATACCATGTATTGTTAATGATACAGAAAAATTGGATATATTAATTTATTCTGGATGAGCCCAGGCATTGGGCCAAAGCTTGTGAGCACAGGTGATTGCCTATATTTGTTTGTTTCACTTGCAGAGTCATTATGCAGCATTCTACGATTGTGATTGTTTAGCATACTGATGATGAGCCTAAGGGCATATTTGACCTTTGCATTTTTTGACAGAGGACAGAAATACATGAATATTCAAAAACACTTGGAAACTCACAGTTCGTTCTTCTTCCATATCAACCATATAAACTTGTATATGCCCACATGTTGGCAGAAGTTGGGAGATTATCAGATGCATTTAAGTATCTCCCTCTCCATTTTTATTTTTATTATATAGAATGTTTTGCATTTGTTTTCTCAGCAAAGGCATTTGATTTAGGTACTGTCAAGCAATATTAAAAACACTTAAAACTGGTCGATCTCCTGAGGTGGAGACACTGAGACATTTAGTATCATCTCTTAAGGAAAGGATAAAATCTCACCAACAGGTATTTTCTCATCTGCTAATTTATCTCTTCTATATTTTATAGATGCCTGAAAGTGGAACTACTTTTTGCAGGAAGGATTTTCCAGGAGCTTAGCTCCCAAGAAATTGTATGGTAAACTACTCAACCTTTTTGATAGTACTGCTCATCGTGTTGTTGGGGGCCTACCACCACCCGCTGCTCCAACAAATGGCACTGTACAAGTCACTGAGCACCATCAACAATCAGTGGGACCTAGGGTATCAGCTAGTCAATCAGCGTTAGCCATGTCATCAATAGTTCCTTCTCAATCCACAGAGCACATAAATGAATGGGCAGCTGACAGCAACAGAATGACCTTGCATACAAGAAGTGTTTCGGAACCTGATTTTGGAAGGAGCCCGAGACAGGTTTATTTCTGTCCAAGTGCCTTTATTTTCTGTCTAGAGACCTGTTTGAGGTACATGTTCGAATAGACTTGTGATTTTGGTGTGTAGGGTCAGGTTGATTCATCAAGGGAAGCGAGTTCTGCCAGTGAGCAAGACATAACACCAGCAGGCGGTTCCTCTCGTTTTGGGCGTTTTAGTCTTGGATCCCAGCTATTCCAGAAGACTCTAGGTTTAGTAATGAAACCTCATCAAGACCGTCAGGTAGTTTTCTGGGTCCATTTTACGATAAATTTGGCTTAATGTTTTGTTCTAATTTAAAATGTAGTTTCTGTTTGGAATTTCTGTTCATTTTCCTTACGGTTTGCACTTTTTTTAGGCAAAATTGGGTGAAACAATTAAGTTTTATTATGATGAAAAACTTAAAAGATGGGTGGAGGAAGGTTCAGAAGCTCCAGCTGAGGAAGCAGCCCTTCCACCCCCACCACGAACTGCTGTTTTCAACAGTGGTACACCAGATTATAACTTGAAGAATACACTGCAAGGTGAATCTTCTTACAGCAATGGAACTCCAGAAATTAAAACCCCGAGCACTTTGAATAGTAATTCCAGAATGCCACCACTTCCACCCGCCTCCAGTCAGTTCTCAGCACGTGGAAGGATTGGGATCCGATCTAGGTAAATTAGACATTCACTTTTTTGATTTATCATGCTAAACTTGATAATTTTTCCCGATAATTTTTCCCACTCCTTGGATAAGATTGGAAAGGCCAATATTTGGCATTTCTCCAGTGTAAGAAGCATTACCTTGGCAGTCAACTTCAGAAATTGAATTTTATCCTTTATATACATTCGGTATTTGTTACATTGTTACAGTTGCTTGTCATGCAAAAATGACTCTAGTATTTTTTGAGAACACAATGGCAAGGCTAATTGCGGTTATATACTTGTCCTACACTACTATTTCTTCAAATAAAGGCTTGTGTGGCAAAGATTTTTTTATGAAAATATCATTTTCCCCAAAAGCATTTTCAACCACATAATGTGGGACCCATAACTTTTCCCTACGTTCTCTGTAAAAAAAATCATTTCACATGGAAAAATCTTTGCCAAACAGGCTTTAATATAGTAATGATATTGAGCAGGGGTAAATTGCACATTGGACCTAACCTATTGCTTATGTAGTAAGTTGTTCCCTAACATTTTAAAAGGAGCAAATTGCTCCCCGACCTTTAATAATACTTGCAATTGTTAGGTGGCTCTCCCTTATGAAACAAGATTTTGTTTGGCAACTTGGCTGGCGTCCAAAAATTTTAAATTATGCATTTTATAATGAGGGCAAAGTGACAAATTAACGAAGATTTGAACAGTTTCTGCCCATATTGATTGCACAACCCAACTTGATATTCGGACAAAAGGTCAGGGACCAATGATGCAATTTCCCTGATTAATTGAGGAAACTATGGTAGGTGTTCTATGTGGTCATCTATAAGAGAAATAAGAACGGCCTGGATGCTTTTTACATTTCCCTGTTTTTTCGAATTGGCATTTTATTTGACGAATTTCATTTATTGTCTTTTGCAGGTATGTCGACACCTTTAACCAAGGTGGTGGAAACCCAACGAACGTGTTCCAGTCCCCATCTGCTGCTTCGACTAAACCAGCAAGTGGAGCCAAACCAGCATTCTTTGTGCCCACCTGTACCCTCAGTCGAGCAGCAGGTTCATACTCCCACAAATGTGTTGCAAGATACTTCATCTAATAATATAACTCCTCTAACTTCCTCTGCAAGCAATACATTCCAATCTCCTCGAACACCTTCTGTGACCATGCAAAGAAACGCAAGCGTGGACAATATTTCTAACAGGGGGACAAGTAATAACGATTCTTTTTCTGCTCATTCACGGCGTGCAGCATCTTGGAGTGGAAACCTTAATGATTCCTTCAGTTCTCCAAATACGGTTGAAGTAAGACCTTTATGAGAAGTATCGGGAATGCAACCTTCATCATTCATGCACAATGTACACTCAACAAATGGTGGCAACTATTCTGACGATCTTCATGAAATTGATCTATAAAGCCATGTGACTGTAAATAGCAAATTTTTGCTTCTTCGATTCATCATACATTACACTCCTTAAAATCTCACAAATTCTGTCAACAGGGACTGTGTTTAAAGGAGACTCTGGTTTTTGTTGTCCCCATTTTTTCTTATAAAGTTGCGTATGTTGATGAATAGAGAGAGAGGTTCCCGCAAGAAGTTAAACACTATTCTGTGTACGAGGGATGTGCAAACTGTATAGTTTGTTTTTTAATTTATCGAGGAATAGGAACATTATAGAAATGAATTCAGGAGGAGATAGCAAGATGGATTTTTTCTTTTATCATTCCAGATGATGCTTTGAATAATAGTTATGGTGCATGTTTTGTGCCCTACTGTAGATGCTACTAATGAAGAGCATAATAGACAAGATTCTTACATTCCAAACATGACATTTTAGTATTGAACTAGTTGGCCCCATTGATTTATGTAAGGTTTTGGTGCTTTGTTATCTAATATTAATTGGTCAATCCATACTATCTGAGTATAGAGTTTCACATACCAGAAATCGAGAATGTTTATGACAATTCTCGATTTATTTAGCGATTATCTGAATGCTTATCACTATCTAGACATTTGCAAGGTCCAAAATAGGTTTTGCACATGATTTGAAAAAAGAAAGAAAGAAAAGACAGACCAATATGGATTGTTTCGTGCAATCATTACATGGTTCTATTAAATGTTAATGTGCTTCTATATAATTAAATTATCGATAGGGATACTGAAAGATTGTACATGAAAGTACGACTCAACTCAGAAGAAATAGTAAAAAAAAAAAAAATTAGAATAATCGTTGTCAAAGAGAGCTTGGATTGAAATTAAGAACGAAAATTTAAGAATTAACCGTCTATTTGTGTAATTGAATTTACTTTGATGGAACTTGAATGTACATATACAATAATGCTATTCATCTAAACTGATGATATCATCCGTCCAAGCATTTTTATTCAATGAATGAAGGGATAGCTTCGGCTACTCTAAATGAATAGCATTGTAATTTGTCAAACTCAAAAAAATAAAAAAATAAAAAAATTCTTGCATTAAAAGTGAAAACCAAACAAATGGTTCATTCAGGAGGAGAGCTCAGTCGATGGCATTACAGAATACTAAAATCCAAACTGACATGTATGAAAACCATAGTCAAAATCCGTGTTTGATAAGGTGGATTCAATAGTATTCATTACTACATCAGTCAGTATAATCCATAGTAGTGCATACTAAACATGCAGATATAAAAAATAAAAGGGAACGGCGAAAGAAACAAAACAAAATTGGCCAGTTCTGTCATTTTTCTATGGTAATGAAGTTAGTACTGTCGGTAGAGTACAAACTTAGGATCCTAGTCTCAAAAAATTACATCCATAAATTAAAAACTCGCGTTTCAAAACAGATGAGAAAAGTATAATTTGGCTTCAATTACCTCATCCTAGTATCTGACAAACTGTCTCGTTTCATCTTCGCCTTTCCTACCATACGGATTTTTCTCACCAAATCCATTCCGACTTCCTTCAACTTTTTTCATCTTCTTCCTGAATTTGGATGTATTGCTGTCTATGTTTAAGTTTACTTTGGGAGGAGATGTAAAACAGAATGAAGCAGCCACAGCCTGCATATAACACAAATTACTGTCATGACACATGAAACAATAAAATGAGTCAATAGAGTTCTTTATAACCCACACGGCCACACCCCATCCTTTGGGAAGTGACAAACTTGGCGTCAAGTGATTAAAGAAAGGGTCGCATGAATATCAGGGCAGTTCAAATTAGAGAGAATTGAATTATTTGTCCCCCAGCCTATTGCTCAGATTCATCCTCACCTTTCCATTATAGTTACACAATCGGGCCCCAATTACGAAAACTGACACCGACATCGTTAAACTGCCATGTGGCCAATGTGGAAACATACCTCACTGCCAATTTCTGGGTACTAGCCCAAGTTGAGAAGCAAAACAGCTTCATGAAATTTGATATGCAAGGGCCAGTTAACGACTTAAAAGAAACTTGGAGAGTTCATATCCTTGGAACAGACAGTGAAATTAAAATGGAAGGTTGCACACCAACTTGCCAGTGGGCAATAGATCGGAGACCAAAGAAACAGGACTACATAAACTGTAAACTCAAAATATTTGTTCTCATATTAGAAATCTGGTTTATGCTGGGGCAATAGCTCAGATCCCAAAGAAACAGGACAACTCATACTGTAAACTGTAGCATTTTCATTCTTTTAAGCTTAGCCGAACATGCTCTTTGATATATCTAAATAATAGTGATCTATCTTCAAAAATGTTTATCTATTATATATTAATGTCAAAATTGGCAAGATCGAATGACTTTCTGGGCGGGGGCATTTCAAATAATATCCCAGTAAGCTTGAGGGATATACAGCAGTTGCAATTATACTGCATTTTAATAAAAAATAAATAAAATTAAAAAAAAATCTTATTTTGTAAACAATATTTCCACAGAGGTAAGTAAGTACCTGCAAGTCAAGTCGGTGAACATTAAAGATGTCTTTCAAAGAATGTGAATTATAAGCTAGTATGTAAGATCTGTATGCATCTTTAGCCGACTTGTTCAAGTAATAATTGTTTGAAACCAGCTTTTCCTGCATCAGTGCATATAATAAATAATATTTACTTCCCAGGAACTCGTGAAAACAACGGAAAAAGAAATTACTTAAGAGAATACTACAATCAAAAAGTTCTAAACAAGAATTTACCAGGTGGGATTGCACATTTGCAAGCTTCTTATCATCAAATTCATACTCTTTCACAGGCACTTTTTCAGCCTGAAATCAACAGTGACCATTTTTCAGAGCCAAAAGAAAAAAGCTGGAACATTATCTTCTAAATTTAGATGACAACTTCGACATTTTTTATACAATTCTTGCAACTAAACAGCCGTGAAAATTCACAAAAAATTGATTCAAGAAAGATGCCACTCAATTTTGTAGTTAATCAACCAAAAATTCGTCTGCCTTGGGGAGGCCTTAAATTCTACCCCGAATTATTTATTGAGGATCCAACTAATATAGAAGCACACTACCTTATTATTGAAAATTAAGGTTAAGCTTTCCATTATTTAACCATTATTAGAGAAAAATAAGGTAACCAGGTGTGAACACCAAATTATTTCTATGAAGACACTTTCACAGGAAAATACTTGTCTACCTTAAGGTACCGAAGAAAATGCAACTCCTCCGGAATAAGGAAAAGCAGGGCATTCCCTTTTGCACCTTCCCCACGTGCCGTTCGACCAACTCTATGGATATATTCCTGAAAGTAATTACATAAAACAAGATTTAGGGGAGTTTGAACGTTATTAACTGGGATATCATTTAGAAGGATATCAGCACATTTAGAAGTATATCAGCACCTTAGGGTCATCCGGGGGATCGTATTGTACAATCCAATCCTACAAGAAGAAATCAATGGGTGCCAATATTAGAGCTCATTACAATTGATCGTGTACTATAGTAACATAGATGGACCATATATAAGACTACTATTTCTCAATGTTTCAAACCTAGCCCGAGCATTGACCCAGGAAAAAAGTCAATGGTCAAAAGGTTCAAAAGTGGCCAAATAGGTGGTAAAAAAGAAAATTAATAAATAAAATACTAAGTATGACAATTCTCACAATCACAAATTTGAAGAAAATACAAATCCTTATTGTTAATTGTAAAGTTTATTAATACATTTCTGGAAACATCTCAAAAAATAACACCAATTTCTCTAAACTTAAAACATATTTTAGATTGTAAAAATCGAGTGCATATCACGACACCATGATGTTTCTATACATTGAAAAGGATTGTATTAATTCTCATTAGGTGCATAGCAAGTTTCACGGATGTTAAGCCTGTTATCCTGTTTCCTAAAAAGCTGCTTATAAGTTTCTATCAAATCAAAGCCAAACATTATTTTTAACCACACATTCATAACTACTACTCATTTACTATTCACACATTTCATGAGACCCACTACTATTTCTGCTAAGAAGTTACTGATAAATTTACACGAACAAGGCCTACATGATTCTCACAATTGATGGGATGAGGAACAGAAAAGCTTATATAAGGACCATGATGACTCACGTGAAAGAATAAGCAGCTAACTGGTCAAATTTGTTGTGCGTGTGGATTTGGCAAAAAATTTAATCACAAGTTTTTGTTCATTTTTAGCCCTCATTTGTTACGGATTAAAATTTAGCTTTTAATTTAAATCAAAATCAACAATTAATTTTAACCATATATTTTTATGGGTCTCACAACCTTTCAACCACACATTACGTTAACTTCTATCAAAATTTATTAAAAATCTAATTTTCATCCCTCCAAACACAGCTTTAATAAGACGAACCAGTAAAACCAAAGACAGTTCACAGCTTAACCTGCCAGGTCAGCTATTATTTCAAATATATTTTTAGTAGTCAGTTTACACAACTGCCACTACATGGCCTGATCGGATTTTGGTCCGGTTCATGGTTATTCCAGTTGAATTAACCACTCCAATCCGGTTTTAATACCATTGATATTTCAATAACTATGCTTGATGAAAACAATACATTCCAGGGAAAAAAGGGAAAAGGTTCTGCCACAGAAAGAGGGAGTGTATGAAAGATATACCGTTCTTTAATAATATACTTATTACGTACATAATCTGTCCTTTTTTGACCTCTTATTTCCCAGTTAAGTAATATATTTTTCTCTTCTTTTTGTGTGTGTGTGTTGTGGGGGGGGGGGGGGGGGGGGGGGGGGGGGGGAGGAAAAGAAGAGAAAAGAAAAAGAAATGTTTGACATTTTTGTTAAACAGGTGATGAAGCGTACCACAGCAGGAATATCAAGACCACGTGCAGCGACATCGGTACATAACAAGACACCCTTCTCCACTTTGCAAAAATCAAAAAAGGTGGAAGTTCGTTTCTGCTGCTTTTGCTTTCCATGGATATCAAAACAATCAATCTGAATGTATCTAAAAAGTTCTGAATGAAATTTGACAGAACTGCAGGATGAGAAGAAGACCATCACTTTCTTTGACAGATTCCTCTTCAAGAAGGAATACAAAAGGATAAATCTTTTGGCACTTGAGACAACACAATAGCCTTGCTGTAGCCCTTCGTTGGTGACCTATAAACGCTAACATTTAATCAAAAGGGATAACAAAAATATCTGTTTCAACTAAAGGAAAAAATCAGCCAGTAAGTATACCCGCTTCCTTCCAGCATCCACGTCAATGTAGACAGGAGCTTTCTGAAATGACAAGCGCGCAAGATCCTCTACCTTAAATTGAAATATATTTCTTTCAGAAGTCATCCAGGTAACAGTAACTGAATATCCTTTTTTATTTCCATTATCAATAGAGTAAGAAATAAAAGATCACTTCAGCACCAAAACATAAGCATTAAAAATGCAGGTGGACATTTTAGGAAGCTAAAAGAAACTCAAAATAAAATCACATCTCTATTTCTTGCATTCTCTTTGATCTTTTTCCAAAAGCACCATCTATTATAATTTTCTCTTGTAGATAAATATAGGATATTCCACCAGATAAGCGTTAAAAAACATCAGGTTTGTATTCATACCTTCTTAGTCTGTGTAGCAGAGAAAAGTGCAGTTTGTCTCTTCTGCATGGTATGTAGCATCTCAATTAATTCACAAACAATGAAGACGAAAGTAGCATTTAGTTATTTCATACATTGTTCAGCACATAAATAGGACACAGAATTTCATAACTCTCAAGGAAGGGAATGGAAACACTTAAGAGCCAAGCAGAAATGAATTCATCTAATGATATGATGAATAGTGTTTGCAATGGTTGCCATCATCAGACAACATGTTAAGCCAGTAGTATCTACCCATACCAATAGACAAATTTGTACTTTCATTTGAAATTATTTCTTGGGCAATTAGCAGCAGCGGTCATCAATCTTTCATAAGTGGGCACTTGAGGTCCCCCATCCTACAATTTTTGTAGGACTTGTTTCTCCAATGACATTTTGTCCATTTAACCATTAGACTGTGTCTCAAATGGTTCCAAGAGCAAAAGGGGTAATTCAATTAAAAACTAAAAAACAAAAAACACTTCTTCCCAAATTTCGACCTCCACTGCTGGCCTCCATCCTGTCACCCATCTCCCCTGCCCTAGCAGAACTCGCTGCCAGCAGTCCTTATTTCTCTTTTTCACAAGTTCACCAATTAATCACTATTAGAAGTTTCTTTCACAAAATATATAACTTTACAACTAACTGTTAGCCCAATCTCCACAATCATGGCCAAGGAAAATTGGTGGGAGTGGGTATCTGAGCGGTAGAAGATGAGTGATTTTGATTTTTTTCCTTTTATTTATCTTTTCATTTTTCCTCGCTAGACTAAATTTTTTACTAAAAATAAGAGTATAATTGTCTTTTAAACTAAATATTACTACAAAATGTGCGACTTACTAATCATTTTTTGGACGGAATCCCTTAGCGGGGACTCAAGTACTACGGAAATTGAAGGTTGGGGACCCAAGTTCTCACTCATACAAAGGTTTGGATACCACCGGTGCCAATTTTTATAATTTACATAAAGGGGAAATCTAATCCATAGGTTACAAGATAACTTGTTTTTGATAACAAATACAGCCCTCCACTTCAATAATTGCACCATGATGCAACTTATTCAATGTTACCAAAGCAGAAATGACAAATTGAATCCCTTTAAAAAAATTGAATCTTTCGCTGTAGGGAACTCTCGAAAGATTATAAATCAGATTTCATTACACTTATCTGCAGAAAGAAAACAAAGACAAAGATGGCTGGCGATATTAAATTTTTCATAACCTGAAAAACCCCGAAGAAAAAAATTTGACTGTATATAAGCCCCCATAAAAATTAACTACAGCTGCAAGTACCTTTGGCAAAATTTTAATGATCTGCTTCATTTCTTCTTCAAAATTTGCTTCCAAAATCCTATCTGCTTCATCAATCACCAGGCACTGCAAGGTCCCAAAGTGTATTTTGAAAGTTAAAGCATTTATAAACAAGCAATCTGAAGAAAAGAGTAAAGGTCTGCATCCTGAATGCTTTAAATGTTGTATGATAAACATCTTCCAGCATGAGCTAATCCCTACTGCATCTTCATTCATGTTTAGAGCTCTCAAGTTGAAGAGAAAGGACTTCTCACCCACCATGTGTTCATTATCAAAGGTTAAGTTGCTTAGACCATTCACCTTTGCATCTTTTTACTATATTATATATCATAGTCTCAACTGTTATACACAAAAATACAGATTAACAAATAAAATTACGCAAAACAGATTACTCATTCCATACTTATCTGTTAGAATACTGCTATTTATTTACCATTAAGTGAAGCATCATTGCATTTCTCCTGTTATACCTATGGGACACCCTTGGAGAGCAAAAATCCATTGCCTAGAAGCAAAAGTCGGGATTAAGTGCCTTTTAACTAGTTTTTACATAAGAAATCGTCTACCAAAAGATTACTAATAAATTCTGTCACTGCTGTTTGCTAACTGATGCTAATAAAAGGACCATTCTAACAGTAGATAAAGGACCATACCATACTATAATATTTTGAGAAGAGTCTTTTAGAGAGTAATAATCAACTTTTGTCATTACAACATATTTTTGATCCCAAAAATAAATAACATGATTTTGCTCCATAATATCGTAACAACAATATACATGATATCAATGGCTGTGGGGACAGGTAGGATTAAACAGTAGTTACTTGTCCATTGTGAAACTTTGTGAATGATAATCAAATTTCACCAAAGAAAAAATATTTTCATACCCGTAAGCTTTTATATATGAAGCCTTTAGTATTTTGAAGATGGTCAAGAAGACGACCAGGTGTTGCTACTAAAAGATTAAGTCCTTTGACAAGCTTCTCTGCCTCTGCTCTTCGTGTGTTACCACCAATTACCAAGCCAACTGTCTGTGAGTGATACTTGAGAAGCTCTTTTGCCACATCATGTGTCTGCATCATCAAGTTGGAACTTAGATTAATAACTTCAAAAGTACAAAATGCCAATACATCACAACAATTGAATGCTAATGAGATTCTTATTGGGGGTGACATCGGCAGGATTGAGACCTCTCTGAACAAATGAAAAAATCCCCGGTGCATAGCCCACCCCAAGAAAATTAGTCACCAGGCATACCCAAAACACTGCGAACGGGGTAAGCCCCGAGGAGCTGATGAGATTTGATCACACAACCTAAGCCGTGGAAATTGGAATCATGTGCCATGAAGCCAATCCCCAGCTCAAAAGTGATATACTATATACACAAAGAAAGCTGGAGATATGGACTTCAAGAAAGGATGGAACTGCTTGGAGTAGTATCGGTAACAGCTAAGTCATGTTTTTGTATAGCTATCAAAATAAAGTTAAAATAAACATCTTATATACCTGCATGGCCAACTCCCTTGTCGGGCAAATGACAACAACGCCAGTTCCATTGCGAGGCTTAAAACTGCCTTGATACAACAACTCAACAGCTGGTATGAGAAAGGCAAGGGTTTTTCCTGAACCTGTCCTTGCAGCTCCAAGAACATCCTCTTGTGCCAAAAGTGGAGGAATTGCCCGAGCTTGGATCTTTAGTAACAGTAAATGAAAATCAAATTTACGAACATAGATTCTTTCCTTTCTATCTATGTATAACCATTAAAAAAATTGCTCAGCAAAATATACACATTATAAAATAAATTTATAAATGACTAAAGATGCGAAATTTAAGCAGTAGGATACAACAGATATTGACGTGGGATTAACCAATAGAACAGAATAAAGTTGACAGAAAAATCAGGGATAAAAACTGAAGGCAATTGATAAAATTAAAAACAATAAATACAGATACATAGAAACATTAGCTAGAGTAACAATTAACTCCCATCTTTTTTACCTCAGTCATGTACTGAAAACCAATGTCCTTGATGGCATTCATTGTGGGTTCGGATAAACTCAGAGACGCAAATGTATCCGTACTCATAATCCCAGACCCACTTCGTAACGTCATCTTTCTCTTTACCTCCACTTCTTCACTTTCCTCTTCTTCCTTCTCTTTTTGCTCCGTCTTCAATTTTTTCTTGCTTTTTTTCTTTTTTTCTTCTTCTTCTACTTCTTCTTCTTCTGCTTTCTGTTCTCCAATTTCTTCCCCTTCATCATTGCCTCCATGTGTCAAGTAATCCTTCTTCTCTTCTTCGCGTTCTGATTTTTCTGGTTGGGAGTTTTTTTTGTTCTTTTTATCCCTAATTCTCTTTCTCTTCTTCTTTATTGAATCCGTAGCTTCATTGATTGGGATTTTCTCAATCCCCGCCATTGCTGTTGATGCGGCTGAGTTTTGGAGAGAATTCCAGAAGGAGAATAGGGTTTTATGACGGGTTTTGTGTTGTACCTTTTTAAAGCCCGGAAACCCGGGGAAGCTTAAAATGAGCGGTTGCAATCGGCCCGTTTAACATTTTACTTTGACCTTCTATGATCTACGTTATTTGAAAAAAGACACTCTTAAAAAGAACTTTTTATTTTTTAATCACCTATTTTTATCATTACATTATTTAAAAATGCATTTTATGAAAATAATGTGGCTCAAATTGGGGCTTTATTTGTAATTTCCTCTTGTATCATTTGTCAAACTTTTTAAGCCTACATTGGAATACGAGTAGTAAATTTATGGTTTATTACCTAAATGCGGTTGCACATAACTATTATTTACACATTTTAAGGAATTCACTACTATATCTCCTTATAAAGTAATATATAAATTTGTCAAACAAACGCCATTTTTTTTTTTTTTTTGAATAGTTACGTTATAGACATTTTTTACTAGGACTTTGTTTGAGTTGAGCTTCATTTTTTTCAAATTTTATTTTTCAAATAAATATTTACAAGTAAAATAATATTACATGTAAATCGAAATTTTTTTTTTAATTTTCAATCACATTCTCCAAAAATCATTATTCAAAAATGAGTTTTATCTCTCAAAATGGAACTCAAGACAAGGGCTAAAAAAATCATAATATCATCTTGTTTAATTTTACCATGTATTCAATGAAACCTATTAAAAATAGCTCACTGTTCTATTTTTAAAATTTTTTAGAAAATGTTTATTTATCATTCCAATACAAGATATTATACACAAAACTCTCTTGTCAATCTTTCAAAACCTAAAGCCACCACCTCCAGCAACTTGCAACATTGTTGTCAACCATCGCCACTTCATTTTCTCCATTGTCGAAGTGAAACTTGTTGACCTCAAAAGTGTACCTCAAACGTGGCTAACAAATCCCAAGACCTCTCACGTCCACACTAACCGTGGCTAACAGATCCCAAGACCTCTCACGTCCACACTAACCGTTAGCCACACATTGCCTCCTCCTGTGGGGATGGAGTTGACCGTGTAAACTCCAACGGACAAGTTAGCTGGGAAAGTAGACATATAAGTGTGGAATGATTTTAGACATGAGCCTCCAATGTAAAAATAGAGTCGGTTTTGGGGAGTTAGGAGTAATATAGTAATATGGCAAAGTTATAGTTTGAGAGTCTAATCTTGCATTACTCTCGAATGATACCAAGTGTGAGCTTTTATAATATAGGAGTGTGAGTAAGAACCGTCGGATGAAAAGACAGTAGCCTCATCTATGCGGCTAAAGCCTCTTATTTAAGACATCAATCAATCATGAGGCTAATATCATTTTAGCATCTATAATGCCTAGCTTGTGGCCGTGGACTTAACTAGATAGGGTGATAGTGGCAGCAGTGATACTGAATTGTCATATCAATTATGTCAAAAAGATTGCTTTGGAGATCTTGTGCCGAGCTCCTTCTGCGGCTTCGCCTTTGCTCAAGAAGGCTCTTGAGCAGAGGAAGGCTCTTGAGCAGAGAGTCAATAATATTTGATGGGGTCGATAAACACATGGGTTCGATCACCTGCAAAAATCCTACCTTCATTTTCCATGTAGGTACGTAAGGGCATTTGGGCGTAGCAATACTCCCCGAAGTCTATATATGATTTTTTATATAATGCATGAACCTTTTAAATTAGCAAGCCATGTGAAGAAAAAGGAGCATGGCATAACTGGAACTTGAGATAAGGCTAAAATAAGCGAGGCGAGGCCATTGCTAAAAGGGATGACCCTGTTGAGCTAACTGAAGCCTGTGATAAGGCCTAAGAAGCCAGGTGAGGTTCTTGCTAAAAGGGATAAGCTTGTTGAGCCAACTGAGGTTTGTTGGAGCACGTGCCTGAATGATTTGAACATAACATTGGTTCTCGAAATACGACAACAGTGTGGCTCAGAGGTTTCCAATGCTCGTGTTACGTGCACATTTATTGTGTAATGATGGTGTTTATTACAGCTAGAGGAAATCACTTGGGCCTTTAGTACATATAATGCACAAATTCAACAAAGCCGTTGATTCTAATTTTTAATAGACGCCCTTTGATTTTAACGCATTTGACGACGATACAGATGTACAACCAAGATTAAATTTGGCTCAATCCAATGGTGGAGCCACGATATGTCCGTATATAAAGATTTGGACTTTGCTATTTCCTTCTCTTTTACTTTACGAAAGTTGTAGACATAGAAACGGTTTTTCCTAAGAATTCCCTGAGATTTTAGGCAATCTTCATCACATCTCCGATAATCATCTGCGTTTTTAGGCTCTCAGTACATCCAGAACCTGTGTAAGTACGAATCTCATCCCATTTTCGAATTAGTTATATCGAATGGACTCTTCTTTGAAGAAAAATACCAAAGGGGAGAATTTTTGAGGTAGTGGACATGGCGTTCATTTGCGCTGAGGATGGTTTGCCTCCAATAATCCCAACTAAAAGGATTATGAGTTAATAACCCAAATGGTCACTGATTATTGCACAAAGTTTTCACGTGATCACTGAACTTTAAAAATTATCTCATTCATCACTGAACTTCACAAAAAGTTTTCTAGGAATCACTGAGTTTAGTGACCCCTAGGAAAATTTTTACAAAGTTCAGTGACCCAGTTAAAATCCTTTGCAAAGTTCAGTGATGAATGGAGTGATTTTTAAAATTCAATGGCCCTGTGTAAACCTTTTGCAAAGTTCAGTGATGACTTGGATAATTTTTAAAGTTCAGTGACTCGGTGAAAACTTTTTACAAAGTTCAGTGACCATTTGGATTATTAACCCAGAGGCTTATAGAGACAATGGGGAAACCTCATAGTGTATAGATGATGCAAAAAAACCTTATAGATTACAATGTTAGTAAGGAGGCTTCGTGGTGGTCGACCTGTGTAAAGAAGAGTGAATTGGAGACCTTTAAAGAGAGCCATAGGATCCCTGATACCATAGAGATGTTTATCTCCGACTCCTAATGAGCAAACTCGTATCCCCAGGGAGAGATGTGTTATAGTGAGCGAGGCAATTTTGAGTAATGAAATGAAACTATCTTTGTACCCATTCTTCAAATATATTCTTAGGCAATATAACCTGGCTCTCACCCAATTAGTGCCAAACGCATGAAGCCAATTAGCATAGGCTTCCTTATTTAGAAGGATGTCACTCTTGGTGAGGATATGCCTCCCCATGTTTTCCAAACACTTTTTCAGCCCCGAACCTCTAGTGAAGAGGAGGGTTGTGAGGGATAGTATTATATGAACTCATGGGGTCCACATTCGTCCTTCATCTAGGAGACTCCGACCTCGATAAAGAACTAAAAGTCATATTGGTTCTAGATTAGGGGTCGTTAGCAGACAACAAATGTAGATGCGGTCCTATAGATTATCATGCCGACCAAATATCATGAGTATAGTGAGTTTAGCTTTAATTGAAGATCTTTTGTTCATTCTACCTCTGTATTTGTTTCTAAAGTTTGTTTTGTGCAGTTGCAATTAACTGGTTTAAGCTTGAACCTTCTGAGTGGGCTACCATTAGAGCTATTTACGAGCTGTCTTCTGCGAATAAGTACTTCAAAATTGTGCTTGGGAAGTGAGCTCTACTCATAACACATTTGTTGAAGGTGACCAAGAGTAAATCATCGCTTCGTCATATCTCGTAGTGACTTGATTTGATTTTTGATAACACTAACGATTCGTGTGTTTTGCTTGTAGAGTGATAAGTGTATTTCACGCATACTTTAGAAACTATTTAAGCTTGATATTTACCTAATTCTTATAAGTTTTAGAGCGTTTTATTTGATGTTATGATATAGGTTGATGAAGTTGAAGGAAGTAACCAAAAATGGCAAAATTGGGAATGCTAAATTGTAACAGATCCAAAGTTCGGGGACTAAAGTGCAAATATTCAAAAGTTGTGTCGAACCTCACAATGAAGATTCGAGAGTGCTATAAGTCAAATGGATAAAGCAAAAAGTCAAATGAAGATATATAATCAAATTATAATCACACATCAATTTTGAACCAAAAAAGTTATGCTCCAGATTTTTTGTCTCATATTGAGAACAAACATTTGAATTGGAAAATGACATCTGAAGAAGCTTTGTGTTAGCTTTCCAATGCAATTTGATTCGCCTCAATCAGATATCGAGAGAAGAAATTATAATAAAAATATTGAAAAATGAGCACTGCTATTTTTTCCACCCAAAAATGGGCGCCGCAATGCCACTAATGCTAAAAATCAATAGGATCGCAGCGCGGCAGTGTGAGAAGAAAAGAATTTTGAATTTTTTAGACTATTTTCTTTGCCCAATTCAATCCTAACTCTTCCAAGACTTCAAAATATTATAAATATAAACCTAAAGACCACAATTCAAGGAGAATTCAACTGGGCAAGAAGGGGGCAAGATTCAAGAAGTCGAGAAGAAGAAAAAGGTAACTTGGCGAAGACTATTGAATCAACCATCCAAACAAATGGTTTTATTTTTCTTTTCTTCATGTTATTCTTTATGAATTGTGTAGATTTAGTGGCTTTTATCATGAACCAAACTATTTTTTTAGGGTTTGATTAGTTGAAACTTGAGAGTATAATTTGAATTTATTCTAGTTGTTTCTATGAAATTTTCCATTCCATTTATGTGTTATGATTTTAATGCTATTAATTAATTGGCCACTAATTGAATGAGTAGATACTAGTCAATTTCAGTACTCGAAAGAGGGAAATTTAGGCACGATCATAAGATTAAAAAAATACAGATTTTATGGGTTTCAATAAAAAGTGTAGAATTTATGAAGCTTACTCCATAAAAGAACCATGAACTTGATAAATTCTTGATTTTAATTCAGAATAGAGATATTGATGTGAAAATCTACGATCAATTTCTAGTCGGCACTTGAGAGATGGGATAGAAATACAATTGAGTTCTTGCCTATAAACATGGGAAAGTTGATTAGCGATAATTAGGTTTTCGAAAGTCATATTTGATAGTTAGG